CAAAGACAAGCTCGAAAAAGGTGAGTAGGGCTCCATACAATAACTTCAAAAGTCAAGGCCTGTTTTAATTAACGCGGTTGAGATCTCATGTTTATATTAGTGTTAGTGATACAAAAAACAAAAAAACATTCTTATTCTTCTTTTTTTTGTTTTTTTGTTTTTTTCTAAATGGGTTTTGATATTTATTTAAGAAATTAAATATAGAGAGTTGTTTAATTTTGTGAAGTGAGACAAATTTTTTTGTGAAAACTTTCTAATACGTTCTTTTCTTCTCATGAGTGTGGAGGGAGAATTGCCCAAATTTGTTCAAAAGCTTACTAGATTTCATTCTCTTTTCTTCTTAAATTTTCATTATTCATAACTTTTTTGTTTCTATCTTTTGGGATTCGAGTCCCCGTTTGGGTTGGTTTCAAGTTTATTGGCACAAAAACTAGGTCATGAACCGACCCAATTTCATTAAAAAAAGAAAAGAAAGAAAGAAAAGGTTAGTTGAAGGTCGAACGTTTCCTTCCCAACAGCCCTCCCTCTAATCATAAGCTTTTCAATCCCAACGGAAGGAAGAAACCCTCATTTAATGCAGGAAGCAGCATGTCACAATATCAATGACAGGAAGTAGATTGTAACCTCCACCGAAGACAGACAAGGGGCGACCCTCAAGTAACATCTATCCGACTACATGAGTCCCAAGATTATAGATTGTGTCCTTCACACAAGACAGACAAGGGGCAACCCTCAAGTCACATCTATCCGACCACATGAGTCCCAAGATTGAGAAGTGTCATGATGCGAGAGGACGGTGCATCATCCAATACACCAAGAATGTGCAGTGGAGCTAAGACATCATCCAATACACCAAGAAGGTGCATTGAAGCTATGACGTACGCTAAGTTCGAGAGAGACGACACGAGTGTCAAAGATAAGCTCGAAGAGGGTCGAATAGGGCTCCAAACAATAACTTCAAAAGTCGAGATTTTGATATGAATTTTTACATGTGACTCATGTTTTAATTAACGTGGTTGAGATCTCAGGTTTACATTAACATGGATGAGGGCTCATGTTTATATTAACCTGTTAGTGAAAAAAAAAATAATAATAAAAAAAATAAAAAATAATAAAATAAAAATAAAAGAAAAAGTCATTCTTATTCTTCTTCTTTTTTGTTTTTTGTTTTTTGGTTTTGTTTTTTTTTTTTGTAATTTTTTTTAAAAGGGTTTTGATATTTATTTAAGAAATTAAATAGAGAGTTATTTAATTTTTCTTGAAGTGAGACAAATTTTTTTGTGAGAACATTCTAAATTGAAGTACCAGCAAATTTATGAGATGGATTTTTTTTTTTTCCAAACATGTACAACATTTTTCACTATCTTGCATATGTATATTTTTTTTCAATTGGGTAGTTTATGTACTATAGGTAGGGTTGCTAAATTGATGACTTTTATCTTTCGTATATCTTGATGCTATAGTATATTGCTTCAGTCTCTGTCATGAAATTGTGTATGATGGTCATAGTTCTCTTAGCTGATACATGGTTAATTCATGTCTTGTACATAAGACCTTGTTCGACTGACTCTTCTATCTCTCCCACTATTTTTTGAAGTAAGGGGGCTTCCATGTAAGAGTTCTCAATGCTTTCAATTGGCGATGTTTCAACTAAAGTCATCTCATATTCAGCTAATGAATTCACCAAATTTAACGTGGAAGGCATAAAGAGTGGCTCTTTGTGAGCATTCAGACACTCGATAGGTCCCTCTTACATATAAAGCAAAACGAGGATGTTAAGGATTATTGGGAGGAGTAGTCCCATATTGACTAATTAAAGGGATGATCATGGGTTTAGAGGTAAGAAACACCATCTTCATTGGTGTGATACTTGCCAGGGAAACAAAAAGCAAAGTGAGGAGAGTTTATGCTAAAAGTGGACAATGTCAATAGAATCCTAAGTGTTAATAAAGAAGTTGTGAGCCATTTGAAAGTGTAGTCAAAGTGGTCAAATTGTCTTAAGTGTCGAGCAAAGGGTGAAGGGGACCTCAGAGGAGGCTCTATGGTGTATTCCTCCATGTGGGCAATAGAGTCCGTCGAGCTACCCTCACACTCATGCCACCGGTTCATATGAATTTATTTGACCCACGGTCTCAATCGTGGGCATCAATTCTTGGATGGGTATCTCATCTTGGTAGCCAGCTGACTATCAATCTTATCAAGTTTTGTGACATTCTCACTCATACAAGATAAGTCAAAGATCGTCAAAGACATCTCGTAAATAGAACGTCAGTTCTTCAATCTCAACCAACCATCAACATGGGACTTGCTCTGTTTCATAGCGCACATGTTTGTTAATTTGAATACTAGGAGAAAAATTGACTCTCATACCAACCATCACAATCACGTTCTTTAAGGACACAACGCGATCGTTACGGCATTTACTCTTGTCCTCGAGTAAGTAAGGCAACTATAACTTAAGTTGTCATTGATATAGATGACCTATGCTCAAGTCTCTAACCCCACTCTTAAAAAACAAATTTAAAAAAGCGAGGTCAGAGAAAGTTAAATAAAACATCGTAAACTCAATTTGAGAAAGTAACGTTATAAGCTTGCAAGCAATAAGGAACAATAACAACATTCATAGCATATATTATGGGCGGGAAGGATTGAAAAAACTTTCGTATCTCCCTATAGTACATTTACATTTTGAGACCAATCAACTTGGACAAGTGTAGACATACACATAATTTAAAATGATAAAATAATAAATAACTAACTTACATTGAAGTAAGGTAAAAGGGTTTAGAATGGACATGAGACAACACCCTTGTCAAGCATCACTATGACATCCAACTCTCAATTAACCCATAATGCAGACACATGCTCAACCTAACAGCCTCGCCCCATGTCCACGAATTCTTTAGACGGTCCAATCTGAGTGCACTCAACCGAACCTTAATTCACGAAGCAAGCCCAAAAAATCGCAGATGCATGCTCAGAACTAAATGGCTGCAACCCATCCCTCTATATGCTCCTAGCTGCCTCTATCATATGCAATAAGCTTGCAGCTCTAGGCTATAATTTGTGTACAACATCCAATAGCCATTTCCCTTGGCACTCGACTTGGTGGCTCCAACTGACTCTCCTTTGCTCGACATTGCCAATTGTGGCTTGATTTACCTATTTTAGATCATAAGCATTTTGAACCTATTTAAAGTTCGAAAATGTCAATGAACTACTATTTTAGCCTATTAAGATTATTTCTCATTGTTTAAGATTGACTTAGGTTAAGTAACATCGTGGAAGACGGGTGAAATTGGATCACATCAAAGCTAAACCTTTGAATGATTAGATAAGGAGAGCTTAAGGGCACCAAGTTAAGCCTAAAATTGTAAGTAAATTTACAATTGGATTGCCTTGAGCATGGTTGGGTATGTTGTATGAATAACAATACGTAATATTTATGTACATGTTATTAAACTTTTATGTTAATGTAGGTTGATGTGATGTATATACTTCTATGTATGTTGAGTATGGCTAATATGATTTTATGACCACAGTTTTGCCTTATGAAATATAATGATATAAAATGTACTATCAATATGATCAAAATACTATGAGTATATATCTTCGCCTCATAAAGAATTGAAGTCAAGTTATGTATGCAAGTATTATATGCATCATCTCACTGAACTATGATCATATATTACTTCTCCAGTTATGCAATATATAGACACATACACCTACATTATTATTCACGTATCTTTCTCTTTCGTTGGGTTTTAGTAGCTTAAGATACGCTTGGCCATAGTCAAGCCTAGGTGGTACCTCAAAAAGATCTGGGAATAGTAAGAGACTGATAGGCCAAAGGGGTTTACGTCTCTTAAAATGACAATTTTTTGTGGCAAGCCCGCCTATGCATACCATGGGATGAGGAAATTTGGAAGGATATTATCACTAAAGCCCACTATATGTCTTATACGTTCTACCCTAAAAGTATGAAGATGTATGAGGGCTTAAAAACTACTTACTAGTGGCAAGGAATGAAGAATAATTGAGTTCGTAGGTCAATATCTAACCTTTCAATAGGTAAATAAACCGAGATAGCGACCTTCGGGGTTGTGGCAACTGCTAATGTTTCTCTATGGAAGTGGGAAGACGTGATTATTGACTTTATCTTGGATTTGCAAAACACCAAGCAGAATTACACAATCATTTGGGTCATTCGTAGATAGGTGGACCAAGACAACTCACATCATTCCTAGAAAAATCACATACCAAGTGGACAGGTACACTCAGTTGTATGTTAAAGAGATAGCCCATCATCACGGTACTGCAATTTTCATCACGTGAGATCAGGAAACAAGGTTCACCTCGCACTTCTAGAAGAGTCTACATAAGATGTTGGATATGTAACTGAGGTTAAGTACGACTTTTCATCCACATTTGCATGGATAAACTGAGAGGTTGAACTAGATTCTAGAGGACATGTTGAGGACATTGTGTTAGTTATAGACTTTGCTGGTTGTTGGGATGAACACTTGTACTTAATGGAGTTTGCTTATAATAATAGCTACATACGACTGTGTAGAATTCCCCCTTAGAGACTCTATACGAGTGTAGGTGTCAAACTTCTATCTTCTAGGGAGAGGTAGGTGAGCAACAACTTCTAGGGTCGGAGTTGGTTTAGATTATTAATGCAGTAGTGCAAAAAATCAGATTAAGAATACTGAAGGCACGAAGCGGGCAAAAGTACTACGAAGACACTCGTAGGAAGGAACTTGAGTTTGTTACTGGTGATCATGTCTTTTTCAAAGTTGCACCTATGATACGGGTGTTGAAATTTGGGAAGAAGGGCAAGTTGAAGACAAGATTTGTAGGTCTCTTTGAGATCTTAGAGAATATAGGACTAGTGGCATACAAATTAGCACTACCACTTACACTTGTCACCGTGCATAACGTGTTCCATATGTTTATACCGTAGAAGTATACCCCAGACTCTTCATACGTTATCGAACATGAGTCACTTTTCTTTAGAGTGGATTCTTCATATGGGAGAAGTCGATGAAGATACTAGTAAGAGATGTGAAGCTCGTGCATAACAAGCAGATTGTCTTGGTCATGGTCTTATGATGGAACCATTGGAATGATGAAGCGGGTTAAAAAAGAGAGGATAAAGAAAACAAAGAAGAAAAAAGAAAGAGAAAAGAAGAGGTTAGGGTTTTGGAAAGAAAGTTAAAGAAAACAATATTCCACCACTAGATTCGATGGCTTGGAGTCATTTTTTACCAAGCTTTCTTCACGAAAATTTCTTAGAACGTTTTGGTCCAATGATCTAGACTTTTGAATCACCCGAATGTGTTAAGAAAAATACGATAAAACAATTTTGAAAATTTAAAAGATAAAATAAAATATATTTATTATTTTGAAAGGATTGTTTGAGTATTAATATAAAATCGGGGACCAAGGTAGGAGATACCAAACAAACTATAGCCAGGATACCAAAAGAACTTACTCTCTAGAATGACCTTCCTCTGTGGTCGCATAACTCCCGAATGCTTCCCACGTCAACCAATCAGCTAATCACTTGAGAAAAAAAAGTAATATCTGGTGAGCATACAAATAGTTGGTAAGTAGCCTACCTGGTGATCTTGTATGTTGATGATATGTCAATTGCTTCCAAGAAACAAGTGGAGATTGATAAGTAACGATCAATTACTGGTTATCTGTCCACTATGGCTAGTGGACCTATTTGTTGGCGTTCAACATTGTTGTCTACTGTTGCTGAGCATATGAGAGTCACTCCCATATTGGTACATTATCTCATATTGGTACTTGAATCATCTTGATTTATGTATGCTAGTGTTGCTTTGATTCATGTATGAGAATTAGTATTGCTATGTTTATATAAAAATTTGTCTAACATTGTTTTAAGAGGTGGAGTCATGAATTTACCAATCTATTCGTACGACCAAGTTTAGGGCATGGCTCTAATACCATTGTGGGGAGGTGGATGAAATCCAAGCGCGCTCATGGAGGTGGAAGGACATGCGCCAACCCTACGTTAATTGAAGGAAAATCGATGAGGCAACATTTTGCGAGACTTGAAGGTGTGCTTTTGGAGGACACATGCCACACCAAGAAAAAATAAGAAAATACTAATGCCTTACGTCGCCTGGACTCGAAGCCAAGAACACTCGTGTCGTGAGTGGGGTGGGTGTCAAGTAGTGAAATTGTTTGTGGGAGTTTAAGTTAAATTATTCTTAAATTGAGGGCCAATAGCGACTAGCCGTGGTATTTGCACGTGAGCCCGTTGCGAGTGGAATCATGCCTAGAAGCCTTTCCAGCCATGCATGCGGCGCGTGAAGGTGTGTGGAAGGTGATCTTTTGACTATTTTACACCCTTACTAATCCTAAAATGACTTGAATTATGACCATCTAGTGAAATTTTTGAAGATTTAGAGAACCGAAAATGACATACCAGAAGAGTGAGCTGTCTTTCTACTTAACATATCGGCCACTATGTTAGCTTTACATGGGTGATAAAGGATCTTTGTATCATAATCCTTCATAAACTCCAACTATCTCCTTCCTCCCATGTTCAACTCTTTCTACCTTAATAAGATACTTGAGGCTCTTATGGTTTTACTACCTGTACCTTTTCATCATACAAGTAACGTCACCATATTTTTAACGTGAACACCACAGTTGCTAACTCCAAACCGAGGGTTAGGTAGTTACGCTCATATTTCTTAAGCTATTAGGAGCCATATACACGCAACCCCAATCCTTTTCTCGAGGCATCATTGTACACCATGCTTTAACCATAAAATAGTGCTAGCATTAGCGCATACATCAAAAACTCCTTAAGGTTTGAATAAGTCCTAAAAAGAAACCTTCTCTAGTAGTTCGCTAACTCCAAAAAACTTCTAAGTTCACGGACTGAGGATGGTCTCGGTTATCTCATGATTGCCTCTATTCGATCCAGAAAATCCTCGACTGAGTTATCTCATGATTGCCTCTAACAAACTTGCAGAAAATTGTGGGCTGAGGTTGGTCTCTGTTGTCTCATGATTGCCCCAAAATGTTCCATGATTACTAACTTCTCAACATCCAATGATTTTAACCAAGTCGAGCTTTTTGACTCACATCCCATACGTCAAAACACACAATCATGGCAAGGACTACTTTTCGTGATGCCAACAAAAAATATTGGCAAAACAAATATTTGTCAACGTATTAGCACTATCCATGTACTATATATTCTTTAGGTTATTTATTAAATATTATCCTCTCCATGAAAACTATGGTTCAATATTAAATTAATAACCTGGATTATTTATTTATTTTTTTTTTGTAAAATAAATATTATTAATTTAAGCCGTGGAGAACTGTCAAAAGCGTAAAGTTATGACTCTTATGTGTAGTGAGTCAAGGTTAACACGAGAGTGGCACACGGAGGAAGACGGTGTATTGTCTAAAAAAGTGCACAATAACTTAGCCAAGTTTGTTAGCGAAAAAAGCTTAACATATTCAGTCTATTTTTGTTCGTTTTTCTTTTAATAGGGTTTTACTTAAAATTCTAACGTGAAAGCTATTAAAAGGAATATTTGTGAGTGTATAAATATGTTTACCCTCCCTACCAATTAATTGAGCAAAACAGACAGAAAAAATCAAAATAAAAAATGGCATCTTCTAGTTTTCTTGCAGTATTTAGGATTGTCCTTTTAGTACTGTTCTTCAATGGGATGGTGCCCATGCATGCGGCTTCCCAAGACGACATCGTTTCCACCATCTGCAAGAAAACTAGAAACCCTTCTTTTTGCTTTAACGTGTTAAAATCTGCTGGCACCACAGACCTAAAAGGGGAAAACTAGAAACCCTTCTTTTTGCTTTAACGTGTTAAAATCTGCTGGCACCACAGACCTAAAAGGGCTGGCCACCTTCACCCTCAACCTCGCCCACGACAAGGTTGCTCAAACTCATGCCCTCGCCCTGTCCCTGGCGTCCAAGGCAGCCGATCCCAAGCTTAAGGATCGATATGCCACCTGTGCTGAACAGTACGACGATGCCGCAGACGACATCGAGGATGGGAAGAACGACCTGAGGGAAGGTGACTACAATGGCGTCAACATTAAGGCGTCTGCAGCCATGACGGAGGCCGGTGACTGTCTGGACAGCTTCACGCAGCCGCCGAAGGACCCATCGGCGCTGTCTGGCAACGGGAAGACTGTGGAAGATATTTGTAGTATCATCTTGGTTATAGCCAATCTTCTCCTTGGGCGTGCCTAATTCATTTTTCTTCAACCTTTCTTCATTTTATCGTACATGTACTTGGAATGCCATGAATCAATAATATGTCTGTTTTGAATCCTATAAATTTGGACATCGACTCCTTCACATTTTAATAATCTGACTAATCTAGGGTCACTCTATAACTCTTAGTACTCTCCAATTTTAAAGGTCACAGGTTCTAGTTCATGAGTCAATAGTCGCACATAATTTCATGTTAATGAGTTATAGGCCTCCTCAGCACACGATCAGCTAAAGAAACTAGTTTGAATCAAAGTGAGTGTGGAGGGAGAGTTGCCCAAATTTTTCAAAAGCTTACTAGATTTCATTTTCTTTTCTTCCCAAATTTTCATTATTCATAACTTTTTGGGTTAGGTTGGTTTGTTTTTATTTTTTTTGATTCGAGTCCGTTTGGGTTGGTTTCAAGTTTATAGGTTGGTTTTCAAGTTTATAGGTTGGTTTTCAAGTTTATAGGTTGGTTTTCAAGTTTATAGGTTGGTTTCAAGTTTATAGGCACAAAAACTAAGTCTCGTTTCAAGTTTATAGGCACAAAAACTAAGTCTCGTTTCAAGTTTATAGGCACAAAAACTAAGTCTCGTTTCAAGTTTATAGGCACAAAAACTAGGTCATGAACCGACCAAATTTCATTAAAAAAAAAAAAAGGCTAGCGGAAGGCCGAACATTTCCTTTCCCAACGACCCTCCCTCTAATCATAAGCTTTTCAAGCCCAACGGAAGAAAGAAAACCCTCATTTATTGCAGGAAGGAGCATGTCACAGCATCACTGACATGAAGTAGATTGTGACCTCCACACAAGACAGACAAGGGGTGACCCTCAAGTGACATCTATCCGACCCCATGAGTCCACAGATACCCTCAAGTGACATCTATCCGACACCATGAGTCCACAGATTATAGATTGTGACCTCCACGCAAGATAAACAAGGGGCGACCCTCAAGTGACATCTATCCGACCACATGAGTCCCAAGATTGAGAAGTGTCATGATGCGAGAGGAGGACAGTGCATCATCCAATACACCAAGAATGTTCACTGAAGCTAAGGCATCATCCAATACACCAAGAATGTGCATTGAAGCTAAGGCATACAAGGCATCATCCAATACACCGAGAATGTGCATTGAAGTTAAGTCATACACTAAGTTCGAGTGAGAGATGAGAGTGTCAAAGACAAGCTCGATAAAGGTGAGTAGGGCTCCATACAAGCTCGATAAAGGTGAGTAGGGCTCCATACAATAACTTCAAAAGTCGAGATTTTGATGTGAATTTTTACATGTGGCTCATGTTTTAATTAACGTGGTTGAGATCTCATGTTTATATTAACATGGTTGAGATCTCATGTTTATATTAACCTGTTAGTGATAATAATAAATAAATAAATAAATAAATAAAAAAATAAAAATAAAAAAAAGTCATTCTTATTCTTCTTCTTTTTTGTTTTTTGTAATTTTTTTTAAATGGGTTTTGATATTTATTTAATTAATTTTTGGTGGAGTGAGACAAATTTTTTTGGTGAGAACTTTCTAAATTGAAGTAG